ATCGCTGTGGGAAAAGTTGCAAAGCTTTCAGGTTTAGGTCTCGGTCATGCAAATATCAATCACATTTCCCTTTACAATACTTACTTTTCACCACGAAGAACCCCAATAACCCCCCCCCCCCACTGCCTGTGGGGCAGATGAATTCTAGTTAACACTCTATCTACTTTGACTAGCTTCATTGTTTCAGTAAAAGTTGCACCATTATTATTTAGAGTTTACCCCCCCCCCCAAATCAGCCATGCTGAAAAAGCATTGTGAAATGATTTGCTTTCTACAGCTGGGTTCAAGAATTAAATGGTGTCGTGTGGCCGCTATTGCAGCCGCGCGGTTTTGGATTTCTGCTATTTTACTTATTTTGGAAGTATTTCTACTGGGAGTCAGACAATTAAGAGATTGGTTTCTGTGCTCTGGAGTCATGGCCGTGCCGGAGAGCCGCTCGTGGGGGGCAACTGGTGACCTCGGTAGGGCGTGAAGGACGGGCCGGAACGCCCCCCGTCCCATGAGGTTTCAGTTGCGCCCCCACCCCGGGCTCATACCTGCTCTCCACAAGGCTCCCATGCGGCCGCCATCTTTCTTTCCAGAGGGGAGAGGGCAGAGGGGAGCAACACCCTTTCCCCTCCGGGCAGGCATGGTGGCGTGGATTAACGCATAGTCCGTTCACTTTTCTGCTCCAAGCTGTTGGCTTCTGCATTAAGTCCTTGTGCTTCTGGGGCCGTGGCTGTGCTGGAGAGCCACTCGTGGGGGGCAACTGGTGACCTTGGTAGGGCCTGAAGGACGGGCCGGAACGCCCCCTTCCCAAACTCATCTTTTTATAAATGTAGGAGTACTGCTATTTATTCAGCCATTGATTAAGCTGATTGAATTGGGCATGAACTTTGCATTACTTTACAAATTTTTTTTAATTGGATATCTGTGAGATAGACCATTACAAAACTGTTTATAATTGGGCTTCAGTCATACAATGATCCCACACCCATTCCTCCACTGGTGTACATTTCCCACCATCAATGTCCCCTATTTCCCTACCACCATCCACCAACACCCCCACCCCCTAACCCCAGTCTCCCTCTATGGGAGGCACTTTTGTTCTTGCTCTCTCTCTCCTTTTCCTTTTGTGCATTATGATTTGCAATACAGGTGCTAAGAGGTCATGGTGTTTGTTCAGGGCATTCAGTATTTTAATCAGGATGGTAAGGCTGGAGTAGCTTTTTTTTTTTCAATTGGTGGCCGCTTTAAGGTATGGATATGACTGCCAAGGCTTCTAAAAGTACAGGGAGGTGGGAGTAAATAGCCCATCTCAACTCTGAGAAAGCTGGAGATTTCAGTCACAAAACCCACATACACAAATATTTAGCAGATTATATCTTAGTGAGGTATATCCTGAGGCAGTGGAGTCAGGCCAGGGGTATGGTGGTGATTTTGGATTGTGGAAACAAGTGGCTGCCAAAGGCTCTGCTTGGGCAAGCACCAGGCCAACCTGCCCCCACTCTGATTTACCCCAGTCTGTTCAGCTCTGCATGGGTCCAAGATTAATTGTGGCTTTTGATCTCTTTCGAGATTTATTTATGGTTCTCTAAAGTAAGGCCAATAAATAAGCTTGTATAGCTGAGCTGGAGGTGTTTTGTGGGTGTGGCTCCCACATAGCTAACTTTTGGCTGTTTAATTTCTTGGTAAATTTCGTCCCAAGTTTTTGGGGTCTGGGCAAAGGCACACCGTCAGTTTTGGGGTATTAAGAAGCCTGAAGGCACCATCAGGTTCCTGATGCACTCACTCCTCAGGTACAGGCTGACCTGCTGGCGGCACCATACCCACTTCATCTGGTTTTCAGATTGTCTCTTGAATTCCATATGTACATCTCTGAATTATAATTATTATTTTTATTTACACAGTGTGGGTACTAATACATAGAGAAATTTTGTTGTTGGTTTTGGTTTGGAGAGAGCCACACCCAGAGACCTCAGGGTACTCCTGGCTCTGTGCTCAGGAGTGGCCCCAGTGGTGTTCAGGGGACCATATTCAGTGCTGGAATTCAAACAGCAGTCAGTAGTATGCTAGCAAGAATCTTATCGACTTTACTCTCTCTCTGTCCCTGTAGTAAGTAACTTTTCTAAGATTTTGCAACTTGCTCTTGGTAGATTGGTTTCATATCTACTTATTTATTCATTTTTGCAGAGGGCCTTTCACTTGCAAGGCAAACACTCTGCCACCAAGCCACATTCCCATTTCCCACATGATAGACTTAAACCCCAAGTACCTGACCTACAGTTTGTTCTCTTATTTGCTATGGGTACTTCACAAATATCTTTTGTGAAGGTTGTGAATTTTCTGGTGATGACAAAGCATATTGTCAGCCCATTGAACTACCTCCCCTAGCCTGAGCATGTCCAGAAGCATGTCCTTCTCACCTCATCAATAATTGGCCAATTAGAATTTGCTAATAGTTGTGGTAACCCTGACATTTGTTTCTTATGCCATAGTAAAGCTTAGTATAGTACAAAGAACTTAATCTGTTCTGTAATAGGACTGACGTAGAGAGGTCATTTTACATCATGGACTATTAGTATTTTGAAAGTTCAACTTTGGCATCTAATGGTGCAGAATTTGCTAGTAATTAAACAATGTTGTTGCTTATTTTGTTTTTGTTTTGTTTTCACTTTTTTCAGGGCCACTCCTGGTAGTGCTGAGGGTATCATGTGGTATTGGTGGTCACCCCCAGGGCTCCAGAACACAAAGCATATGATCAAGCCCTCTGAGCTCTCTCCCAAGCCCTATATGTGGTTATTATATTGCTTCTTCTCACATGCTGTCTGCCTTTAGCAAGTTACACATCTCTTCCGGTCTAGTAAGGGTTTTATCACTTATCACTTAAGTTTAGTTTTATTTTAGTTTTATTTGAAAATGTTAATGTATGGAACTATTTGCTGAAAATTTTGATTTGTGTTGTGATATTTTATCTTTAAATTTTTTATTTTTTAAGTATTTGTGCCATAGCAGGTTTTACTCCTGGCTTGGTACTCAGGGATCACTCCTGGCGAGTTTCAGGGGGACCATCTGGGGTGCTGGGGATCAAACCTGGGTTGGTCACAAGGCAAGTGCCTTACCTGCTGTACTATCTCTACAACCCTTCTTCAATATTTTTTTGTCGTTTGGGCCTCACCTGGGGCTGCTCTAGTTTTGTTGCTTAGTTCTTACTTCTGTTGGTACTGGGGGCTTATGCAGTGCTAGGGATTATTGGATCTGAACTCTCACATGCAAAATGTGTGCTCAGCCCTTTGAACTATCTCCCCAGCCCTGTGTCATGTTCTTATTACCTCATCTCTAATAATTTCAGATAGAGCTAATTACAGGACATTTCCCACTTGTACTTTGGAAAAAAATAGGTTGTTTGTACTATACTCAGCTTTACTCTGGCATAAGAAACAAATTTCAGAGTTATTGCAATGATAAGCAAATATTGTTAAGTGTGTTTGAATATTGATAACTTTTCAATTAATTATATGAATAATTGCTAGCTCATTTTGTAAATTGGGCACTCTCAACTTGGTACAGTTAATTTTAGCAAATATTTATACTTTTTCATGGTGAATTCTACAAAGTATTTTAATAGATTTTACAAAATCTTTACCAAAAAATTCAATAAAATATTTTAATGGATTTTAATGGATTTTATAAATATGATTGAATTATCAGGATATCCAGAGTGAAGAGAATGAGATTTTTTAAAATTTTTTTTTATTAGTGAAACACCATGAGGTACAGTTGTAGATTTACAATTTTTTGTGCTTGGGTTTGATTATACAATGATCAGATACCCATCCCTCCACCAGTGCCCATTTTCCACCACCATGGATAATATCCCTCCCACCCCCATCCCCCCCATCCCCCCCTGCCTCTGTGGCAGGGCAATCCCCTGTGTTCTCTCTCTCCTTTTGGGTGTTGTGGTCTGCAAAAGAGGCATTGAGTGGCAAACATGTTCAGTCCATAGTCCACTTTCGACATGCATCTCCCCTCCTGGGAGGATCCTCCAAACACCCTTTATTTGGTGTTCCCTTCTCTATCTGAGCTGCCCTTTCCTCTAGAATGCCCGACTGGCCACTAAGCTATGGAGTAATCCTTCTGGTGCTGATCTCAGCTATTCTTGGGTATTAATCTCATATTTTGTTACTTTATATCCCCCAGATGAATGCAATCTTTCTATGTCTATCCCTCTCTTTCTGACTCATTTCGCTTAGCATGATACTTTCCATGTTGTACCACTTGTATGTAAATTTCATGACTTCTTCTTTTCTAAGATCTACATAGTACTCAATTGTGTAGATGTACCAAAGTTTCTTTAACCAGTCATCTGTTCTTGGGCATTCAGGTTTCTTCCAGTTTCTGGCTATTGTAAAGAGTGCTGCAATGAACAAACAAGTGCAGATGTCACTTGACGAGAATGAGATTTTTACTTTACATTTGCATCTCTACTTGCTGGCAAACCATGGGTGTGATTGGCACACGTTGGAGAGTTAATGAGTGAGAAGAGATGAGTGATGAGGACTCATTCTCAGTTTGGGCTCCCAGTTTATACCAGAGTTTTGGAGCTGTATCTCAGAACTCCATAATTTGGCTGTACATTTACATCGCTTGAGAAGCATCAAAGACTGGAGGCCTCACTCAGTCCAGTGCCTAGTGCTGCAGAAGATGTTGGACTTATAGCATTGAACAGAAACAGAGGTGTCCCTCCTTCTGTAGATCCCACATAATCAAAGGATATTTACGCTACATAAATAACTTAGATGTGACAGCTGACACTTCAAGCTATGAAAAAAGGGAAGAGAATGTAGCTGTTTAAATCAAAGATATTTACATTTTCAGAAAACCTTATGTTTAACATAGCTTTTATGCTTATTGCTTGGAAAACACTTCATTCTTTTCATCCCAATGCCTCCCCTCCCACACTCACCCCCCATGACTTTATCTGTGCTGAATTGTTGTCCTCCTATATTCTTTTTCTGTAGCTTCCAGCCATCAACTTTGATAGTGCCCAAGAGAGCATGACGAAGTCTGAGCCCGCCATCAAGGTGGGTGAACACAGACCTCGAGGTCAGTGGCATGAGTCTACTGAGGCTGTGGAACTGGAAAATTTCAGGTAAGAAAGAAATTCAGTGTCTGATGCCCCTGCCTTCATCAGCCGAGCCTAAGGAGACTGAAGCTTTATTTACATTTCTCACAGGAGCTAAAAACCTGTTTCAGAATTTTCCCAGGGGATGTGGAATCTAATCATTTTAGCTAGTGCTTGCACCACTCCCAGCAATAATGTCTCAATAGTCGGCTTCAGGGAAAATGGTGGCACTGACTCGCGAAAGCACCTTCAGAACGCCTTACTGACGTGCAGGTGGTGTTTGCACCAGGAGGAAGTGGGCCCAGGCTTGGCTTGGTGACCCGACGAGTCTCCTTCCCAGTATTGTCTTCAGCGTTTGGTCTGCCCAGGTCTTGCCAGGAATGAGGAGGCATAACAGAACCTGTTGCTGTGTACAGATGTGATCACCAAAGACTGTGGTTGTCCAAACAACTCTGGTTTTCATGAGGTGTGAAGGGATCTGGCCTGACCTCTTGCACCGAAAGTAGTAGCCCATGTTTATCTCTCCACTGCCAAACAGACCTCCTAGAAGCAGCTCATTCTCCTCAGAGCCACACCCCTCCCAAGAGCCGGTCCTCTCAATTTACTGTGTGCGAAGGTCCTGGCACTAAGGGCTATGTCAATAAGGGATGGCGGGAAGCCTCAGTGTGAATAGTTTAGGCGCTTATTTACTTATTTGTCCTGGTTTTATATTTCATTTTATGGCAGAGAATTTAATGTTTATCCACCTGTCTCCGGGAGTTCTTATTTTTAAAGTATATTTTCAGGGAGGAACATTGAATTCCTAAAAACTTGTTTCACATCCAGTCCATCAAGTATTAAGAAATCTTACTGCCCTCACTTCATTCCCACTGGGGCGCATTGCCCAGTGTATCTGTAAGACTGCAGAAGCAGAATCATTAACATGAAGGCCAAAGACCTGGCCTTGCAGTTGATATATTCATGATAAATTCAGCTTGTTTAGATTGGATCTTAACATTGGCATATTTTCGTATTAAAGTTTTTTAAGTCTACTTTAACATGCACAAAAATCTGTGTACCATATATTTATAGCGGTGAGATCCTTTTGTACATTATCTTTTATCCTCTTACAGTTTTGAAATGGGTCTTTAAAAAAATCTTCTTTGATGATCTGTAAAATCAGAAAAAGAAGTGGAGGGCAGGAGAGATAGTGCAGCAGATTAGGCATTCCCCTTGCTTGCAGCCAGTTCAGGTTCAATCCCCTTGCCACACTTGGTACCCTGAGCAACACTAATAGTTTCCCCTGGGCACAGAACCAGAAGTGAGCACCACTAGTGTGGCCCCCAAACAAACAACACACAACAACAAAAAGAAGCTGAAGTTGGATTGTCATAAGACCCTGTTAAGTGTGCAAACACATAGAACATAACATACAATCAGCAGAACTCTCACAACTGAGAGAGTAGACTGTGTTAATGAAGCATTATTACCAGCAGGGAAATGTGTATGATAACCACTGGTGTTGACAGGTATAGCAGCTGAGGAGGTCGTGGGTCAGTGTATGCTTAAGGGACTAATTCTTCTCTAACTACTGTTCACATATCTAGGTAATGTACCTGATCATTCTTTGTTCCAGTATCCATTTCCTTCCTCTGACCAGTTTTAGCAAAATGCTTATAGGAAATAATTTAGTTTATATGGTATGGTGAAATATATGTGCCTTACGATAACAGTAATACTTACTATTGACTTTATAATAGCCTATTTCCTCTTTTAACAGTGAAGACTTGTCTCTGGCTGTTTATTAAATTCTAAGAATGGATCAATATTCGCGTCATTAGCTATGATCTCTGCATTGGTAATGTTGGGGCAGCTTGAATTTTATTACAAAATGCTTTTTTTCCTTTGTTCTATCTCAGTATAAACTACAAGAATGAGAGAAATTTCAGCAAACACCCTCAGCATAAACTATTCCAGGAGATTTTTACGGCTTTGGTGAAAAATAGACTCATATGCAGGTAAGCTTGTCCTGGAAAGAAAAGGAATTTATCCAGTAAGAACACATTTTATAAATCGCACTTCTAGCAGATGTTTTGAAGTGGTTTTATAAGATTAAACCAACATACTTAAAGGGATAAAATAGAACAAAGCCTATTTAGAAGGAGGTGAATGAACAGAACTACTACAGGACTCCTCATTAAAATCACTCTACTTAGGCATTACATTTTTTCCTTTTTAAATTTTTTTCATTGAATCACTATGAATGACAAAGTTATATAGATATTCATGATTGAGTTTCAGGCATATAATATTCCAACAACAATCAATTCACAAGTGTTCTCTTCTTTCCCTGCATCTATGATGGGCAGTTTCCCCCTCTACCATCGTCCTAGTGTTTCCTTTCCTAATTCATACCTCCACCCCTCTCCAATGGCAAACTTCCTACTGAAGACCAGTTCTCCTACTCTTCATTTCTTTTGCTTTTGGGCATTTGGTATTGCCCCATAAAGTTTCTTTATATCCCATGTACAAGAGAGATCATTCTGAATCTGTTCCTTTCCTTCTTACCAACTTCACTCAATATGGGACTCTCCAGATCTATTCACGTTCCAGAAAATCGTATGACTTCATCTTTTCTTATGGCTGTAATATTCCATTGTGTAGGCACTGAATTTAATGACCAGGTAAAAATGGAAAAATGGTCAAATAATGCTTGTTTCCTAATTTTGAATTTGGGTACTTCAGGAGGAGCTTATTGCTGGGGTCCTAATGAAAAAAGACATCGGGTAAACTGATGGTCATGGCTGACAGTTTCTTGATGTACTTTTGTGATTAATACAAGGACCAATTGAGTGGGCCGTCTCTGACTGGGCCTTGGGGAAAAGCTCAGTGAGTTAGCCAAACATAGCTCAGTGGAGATGTTTCTTCTCACCAAATAAGACATTCTTTTCCTTTGCTTTGCTTTCCTTGTCTTCACAAAAGATGATGGTAGGTTTGTAAGAAGGTCTAGACTTTCTCTTGCCAGCTTTAGAGGTTTTGAGTGAAGCAATGGCTATTACAGTATTGTACTCAGGACTCAATTTTCTGCCCACTCAGGGATCTGTCACTGTCACTGTCCTCCCATTGTTCATTGATTTTCTCGAGCAGGCCCAGTAACGTCTCCATTGTGAGACTTGTTTGTTACTGTGTTTGGCATATTGAATATGTCACGGGTAGCTTGCCAGGCTTTACAGTGCGGGCGAGATACTCTCAATAGCTTGCCTGGCTCTCCAAGAGAGGCGGAAGAATTGAACTCAGGTCCGCCATGTTGACAGCGTACAAGGCAAATGCCCTACCCTCTGTGCTTTCGCTCCAGCCCCACTCAGGGATACTTGAAGTAAAAGGTGGCTGTGCTGCTGGACAGGTGAAGAGGGCTCCCTGCATTCTGATGGAGGAAACTGTTGTAGATCTTTCCTAGGAGGCCTGGACTATCTCCTTTCCAGTATTGGCTGACAATAGGCCTATCAAGAATGCTGGGTATTTTAGTGATTCTGGGGACTGATTGATACATGACTTCTTTGGATATAAATTCCTTCCAGTCAGTTTTACTCTGAGGTTATTGGGGACTTGGTCTCATCTCTGAACTATACGCCATTCCAGCTTCTCTCAATTTATGCTGCATCGATGTTCCTTTTTCTCTTCTACTTCACTTCCTCAAACTTTAGTCTTCCTTTTTTTTTTTGCCTTTTGGGTCACACCCGGGTATGCACAGGGGTTACTCTTGGCGCTGTACTCAGGAATTACTCCTGGTAGTGCTGGGGGGACCATATAGGATGCTGGGAATTGAACCCGGGTCAGCTGCGTGCAAGGCAAATACCTTAACCGCTGTGCTATCACTCCAACCCTAGTCTTCCTTTAATCACAGTTTTGGGTATCTACTTTCTGGGTTGTTTTTCCTAAGACTGATCTGAGACCTTGTCCTCTGTTGTAAAATAGCCAGGTGACATGTAGAATGAGACAAAACTTGTTCATGCTACAAATACCTGATCAAAGAATTAATGAAAGTATTGTTGCTTAACCAGAAGTTACCTGTGGTTACACATGGTAATGAATCTTGTTGGGTAACTGGTCATGGAAGCAAATTCTAATCTTCCAATTTTTCTTTCTGCCTTACCATAACTGTCTACTCTAGAATTGGAATGTAAATACATCCCTTTTTAAATCTTATTTTGCCCTCCCATGGAAGTATAAAGCAAGCTACTCAAGTGCTACTCAAGACTTGCTTGTTTGGAGGTTGCATAGTGAAATAAAATTATTACAAAGTTGACATATTTCCCTTTAACTGACCATTACAAAATTGATGTCTGCACATTGCTCTCTCCAGTGTATCTATGCCTTTGAATTCCCTCTTTATTGGTAGCTTCCTTGATTGATTGATCCAGATGATCTGAATATTATATAAGACAATGAAATATGTTAGAATTACTTATGAAATGGACTTGCAGATTTGAATAAAGATGCAGAATCTCAGGAAACTACTAAAAGTGATGGTGTTGAATTGGTCAAGTATGACGAATAGGGGATTGGTAGAATCAGACCACTTGACAATGTAAGAAGAGAATTTTAAGGAGGATTATTAGATAGAATGTTTTGAATAGCAAGGATAAGAACTGGAGTTTTGGAAAAATTGATGATTTTTTCTCTTATTTTTATAAACACATTTTTTAAAATGCTGCAAAAAGATATTGTCCTAATTATGTTCTGCTAATGTACTTTATTAGCTATAAAATCAATTTAATATGACATTAAATAATATAATATCCTAATTATTATTTATAATATAATATATAATACATATAATATCCTAATTTTAATTATATCCTAATAATATAATATACTAATATTAAATTAAATAATATCCCAATTAAATTATTGGAAAAGCTTACATTATTTTAAAATGAGTTCTTTTAGTTGGCCTGTTTCTTGAGTTTTTATCCAAAAATTGTTCAGGTGTCTCTTTTCTTACCACTGGCATCTTTGGTATGGTGCGTACATCCCAGGATTTCTAATTTCACTTTTAGAAGTCTGAAAATTTTAGTCCCCAAATGCACTCATTTTTCTGATAAGAACAAGTTTGTTTCTTCATTATTTTACATTTAATTTCCTGAAGTATTTGTGACAAATTTAAATACTTTGGAAATAAACCTGTAGATGTAGACTGGAATGATATTTACAGTCCTTGAAAGAGCTCAAAACCTGCTTTTGAGCAGGGAAAAAAAAACAGTTCAGGCCATCAGCAGCTTGTTAGAAATGCTAATAAATGTGAGGCTGGAGAGGTAGTATAGTGGGTAGGGTAATTGCCTTAAATACCTGGCCTACTTGAATTCAATCCCCAGCATCCCATATGGTCCCCTAAGTACTGCCGGGAGTAATTCCTGAGCCATTGTCTGGAATAACTCCTGAGCATGACTGGGTATGGCCCAACATCAATCCTGCCCCTCCTCCCTCCGCCCAAAAATGCTAATAATAATGTTCTTGGAATATCACCAAAACCTAGAGGGCCTTGATAATATTATTATTGTTTTGTTGCTGCTCTTGTTGTTGTTTTGGCTCTGTGTTCAGGGATCAGTTTTGACAATGCTCAGGGGATCAAATGTAGTGCCAGGGATCTAATTGGAGTTGGCTGCATGCAAGGCAAGTGTCTAAACTCCTGTAACTATCTTTCCAATCTAATATTTATTTATTTATTTATTTATTGCTTTTTGGCTCACATCCAGCGATGCTTGGGGGTTACTCCTGGCTCATGCACTCAGGAATTACACCTGGCGGTTCTAGGGAGACCATATGAGATGCTGGGAATCGAACCTGGGTCAGCTGCATGCAAGGCAAACACCCTACCCTATGTGCTATCACTCCAGCCCCCAAGTTTTAATCAGACCTTTGCTGTCCTTATTTATGCTTGAACTTGGGTCACAAAGCAAGTGACTCTTGTTTTAAGCATGACCTGCTCTTCAGCATGGACTGTACAGACCCTGTTACAGAAGTTGCAGCAACATCTTTTTAGTGTCTTGATTAAGTTCTTTCAATATACAAAGTTAGTGGCCTTAAATGTGATTTTATCTCATCACGTAGTAAGGGAGACCTGATGAGATCTCATCAGGTAGAAAGGGCTGCTGACTGAACCTTGCCTAGAATAAGAGCAATCTGGTTCGCTTGGTCAAGTCTCACAGGTAGTTCCAGTCTCCCTCAGCAGGTATGCAGACAACACCTCAAAGTGGATAGAGACCAAGGTTCATCAGGCACCCCAAAAGCATTGGATTTGTGTCTTTTTGTGTTTTAAAAGGATTTCTAATGAGAATCAATTCTTTAGCAGGGTCACAAAGTCCTTCAAGTTCTTCTTCTTTTTATTTATTTATTTATTTATTGAATCACTGTGGGAAAGGTTACAAAGCTTTCAGGTTTAGGTCTCAGTCATGCAAATATCAAACACATTTCCCTTTACCAATACTTATTTTTTACCATGAAGAACCCCATAAAACCCCACCCCCCACCCCTCCTAGTCCCTGTGAGGCAGATGAATTCTAGTTAGCACTCTATCTGCTTTGATTAGATTCATTGTTTCGATAAAAGATTCACCACTATTATTTAGAATTTACCCCCCCCCCCCAAATCAGACATGCTGAAAAAGCATTGTGAAGTGATTTGCTTTCTACAGCTGGGTTCAAGAATTAAATGTTGGTTTTGGATTTCTGCTATTTTACTTATTGACCCTGGAAGTATTTCTACTGAAAGTCAGAGAGTTAAGAAATTGGTTTCTGTGCTCTGGAGTCGTGGCCGTGCTGGAGAGCCGCTCGTGGGGAGCAACTGGTGACCTCGGTCGGGCGTGAAGGGCGGACCGAAATGCCCCCCTTCCCATGAGGTTTTAGTCGCCCCCACACCCCCGGCTCATACCTGCTGTCCACAAGGCTCCCATGTGGCCACCATCTTTCTTTCCAGAGAGGAGAGGGCGAATGGGGCAACACCCTTTCCCCTCCGGACA